TTGAATAGCTATCACAATGGCCATCAACTCTCTCTCGTACACTGACTTGGATTGTGCTCTATCCGATAAAGTTTGACTATGAAAAGCCACGGGTCGACCTTCTTGTAATAAAACAGCTCCTAATCCTTTGTTAGATGCATCCGTCTCTATGGTGAAGACTTTGGAGAAGTCTGGGACTGTTAGTATGGGTAATTCAGCCATCAATTTCTTCAGTTGCTCAAAAGCGATTTGGGCTTCGTTGTTCCAACGGAAACAATCTTTTTTCAACAATTGGGTCAACGGTCTTGCTATCTTGCCATAATCCTTCACAAACCTTCTATAATAACCTGTGAGTCCTAAAAATCCTCTTAGTGCTTTGAGATCTTTAGGAATGGGCCACTCCATCATAACAATTAGTTTTTTTGGATCAGCTGCTACTCCTTCCCCTGAAATGATGTGACCTAAATACTCTAATTGAGTTTGGCCAAAAGTGCACTTTTTCAAATTCGCAAATAGTTGGTGCTCCTTCAGTAGCGCTAGAACAGCTTGCAAATGCTTATGATGTTCCTCATTAGATTTGCTGTAGATCAAGATATCATCAAAGAAAACCAAAACAAATCTTCTTAAATATGGTTTCAACATTTCATTCATTAACGATTGAAATGTGGAAGGTGCGTTAGTAAGTCCAAACGGCATAACAACAAACTCATAATGACCCTCATGAGTTATGAAGGTTGTCTTTGGAATATCATCTTCCTTCATCCTTATTTGATGATAGCCTGATCTTAAATCCAGTTTAGAAAAAATATTTGCTCCCCCTAACTCATCAAGTAGCTCATTAATAATGGGAATAGGGAATTTATCAGGCACAATAATCTTATTTAGGGCTCTGTAATCTACACAAAAACGCCATCCTCCGTCTTTTTTTTTAACCAGAATAATAGGACTAGAGTAAGGACTTACACTAGGTCTAATGACACCCGATTTTAACATATCATCTACTAACCTCTCAATCTCATTTTTTTGATAATGAGGATACCTGTAAGGCCTGATATTGGGAATATCCGTTCCTTCCTTAAGTACAATAGCATGATCTTGTCTCCTCGACGGTGGCAGCCCCTTTGGTTCTTGGAACACCTCTTCAAATTCGCTTATAACTCCTTCCAGCCAGCTAGGCGGTGAGATTACTGAATGTGTTCCAGCCTTTAACATCTGGTATTCTAAGAGAAAAACTTGCCCTTCATTACGCATGGCCTTTAAAACAGACCTGAAGGATGCTGCTGCCCTCGATAATTCAGACTATCCTTTCAACACATGATATCGATTACCACATGGAATTTTGATAGTTAAATCCTTGAAGTTTGCTTTTATTTCTCCCAAACTGGATAGCCATTCCATTCCCAAAACCACATCCACTCCACCTAATTCAAAGATGAAGAAATCCTGCTGAATGTCCAACTCTTGCATGCTGAGTTTCAGTTGGGGACACACTCCCTTACAAGAGATTTTTCTCCCATCCCCCACTTCTACATAGTAAGAGGGTGTTTCTTCTACTGCCCATTTCTCTTCTTTAACAAGCACAGAAGAAATAAAATTATGAGAGGCTCCACAATCAATCAATACCACTACTTGCTTGTCGCCAATTCTTCCCCGGAGTTTGATAGACTTCTTGGTAGTAAGACCAGAGATGCTATACATAGACAATTGCAAGGTTTTCACTTCTTTTGCTGATTCTTCCTCCTCTACTTCTTCATCTTCTTCTGATTCAACCCCCATACCTTCGCCCACCACAATCACCCTTAATTGTTTATTTGCACAGATGTGCCCTGGTCCAAATTTTTCATCACACCTATAGCATAACCCTTTCTTGTACTTCTCTTGCAATTCTGCATCTGTTAACCTCTTAAAACTTCTCCCTTTAGATGAAAGATTTGTTCTAGAGTCACTTGTAGTGCTACCAATTGATGAAGCAGCCTGGTTTTGACTCCTAGAATTCGGTGCCCATGTCACAGTTTTTGTGCTATTATAGGTCCTGAAACCAGATTTACTCCCAGAACTTGTTCCACCATTACTCTTGTTTAGCAAATTATTTTTTTCATCTACACTGAGCATAGTCCATTAATTCAGACAATGTCTCAACTGGATGTAATTTCAATTCTGCTCTAATAATTTCTTTAAGTCCATTCAAAAAAATACCTTTCAAATAGGATGGATCTGTGCATTTTAGCGGACCAGCATACAATTCAAATTGTTCTCGGTATTCCTCCACAGTCCCTGTTTGTTTGAGACTCAACAATAATTCAAAAGGACTTTGAATCATTGCTGGCTGGAACCTTCTTAGTATGGCAGTCCTAAAATCTTCCCAAGTAGGATTTTGCGTTGAGAATTCCCACCATTGATACCATGCCAGTGCCTTGCCTTCCATAGCCACCATCACAGCTTGTAATTTCTCACCGTCACTCATCTTCTTTAAGTCAAAGTAACGTTCCACCCTGTTCAACCAACCATAGGCATCAGTGCCTTCAAAAACAGGTATCTCCAATTTCCTCCATCGTTCTTCGCGTTTTCGAGGATGATTAGTGTGTACAGAAGTTTCGTCATCACTGTCGTTCAGACTCCCCGGTGTTGTTCGCAGTTTGCGACGCATCAGGGCGGTTAATTCTGCTACTTGCTGGCTAGTTTCAACTCTTTCCTTGCGATCATCTTCAAGGATTTTCTCCACCTTTTCCTGCATGGCTAACAACCCTTCCAATCCACGTTCGAGAGTTTCCAATCTGGCCTCCATTTCCCCTCGCGTAGATACCATAAAGCAGTCCCGGAAGGAAACTGCTCTGATACCAGTTGATAGAAAACAGAAATAATTTGGAGAATAGGGATACTTTATTGATGATAATTCTGGTGGACAATCAAAGGACCAGAATAATATGCTTACAATAGTTATAGAAAATAGTGCAGAATATTAGGACACACACCAAGATTCGAGAGCTTGGTTCTCTCCCTCCCAAGTGTCTAACACTCACAACTTCAGGATGATCAGAACACAGTTCTGTTTCCCCTTTTATTTCGCCTAGGTTTTGTAACTGTTCCTAATATTAATTGTTACTCTAGTAATAATAATAACTGCTGCCTTTAGAAATTTGTAACTGCTACAGATGCCATTAACATGACTGCTTATCTGCTGCTATTACTTGACAGCATTTATCTTGCTTTATTGGTGCTCCTTCCTCTTATAAGTATTCTTTATGAGGGGTCTAACACTTTCCCGATAAAAAAGAAAGAAAAAGAAAACAAAATGTCTCATTGAGATCTAGGAAAATATTTATGGGGGTCTGGTTTCAAAAGATGTGAAAGAATATGTTGCATCATATTTGACTTTTCAAAATGCTAATGCGAAACATCATCGAAATATGGAAGTGAAATAATTTCTCTATGAACTTTATTACTAGTTTTTCAAAGATGCCAATGAAGATTGATTTAATTTGGGTGATAGTAGATCATTTGACAAAGTTTGCTCATTTTCTATCGATAAACAGCACATACGACGTGGTTAAGTTGATTAAAAAATTTATTACAAAGATTGTAAGACTACACAAAGTACCTTCAAATAGGATTGTGTTCCAAAAATTTATGACACATTTTTGGAGAGCTTTGCATGAGGCTCTAGGAACGAAGTTGGGATCGAGTATGGCATATCATCTGCAAATCAGCGGACAAATTGAAATAATGAACCAATCATTGGAGTCTTTGTTGAAGGCATGTGTTTTGAATTATAAAGAAAGTTAGGATGATGTACTACATCTGATAGAATTCACCGACAACAACAGTCTTCATGGGAACATTTGGATGAATACGTGCAAGGCATTGTACATGCATTTGGATGAATATGTGCAAGGCTTTGTACATGCATAATTGTCTTTGTTGATATCAAGGTGAGTTTTTTTTTAGAGTTTGAAGAGAGAGAGAAGACTTTGAAAAGGAGGAATGGTGGAATAAAAGAATTAAGAAATTTAGGTGAATAAGATCTTGAGAAGTTTGATTTTATTCATAATAAATAAATTTCTTAATATAAAAAAAAAAAACTAAAATATTGTAGTGAATAAGGAATTTGAAAGATTTTAAAAAATTTAGAAAAATTCTTCAATTAAAATCTATATTATAATAAGAGATTAAGGACCCATTTATTTTGATTTTTTTTAAAATAATTTTTATAGTGTAACATACTTGTGTAAAAAAATTTCCTAAGAAACTTTCTATAAAAGTTTCAAATAAAAATAGTTTTATACAGACAATGCATCACAACTATTTATAAGTGATATTTTAAATATGATTAAAGTAAAAACTAGACACCTACGTAAATCTAACAAATATAATAAATTAACCATGCAAAATATTTTTACAATATCAATACATATAAATTAATATTCTAAAATTTTAAAATATTATTAAACCTCTATTTATTGTTTCATACAAAATCATTTTCGAATCACTTATCCCTGACAATTTTTTAGTTTTCTTGAACCATATGAAATCACGTCTTTGAATAATGGCTTATAGCCAATTGTGTTATCAAACATATTTTTCATGTGTGACATAAAAAAGTGAAAACATATTATACGGTAAACCACCACTTTAATCACTATTATTAACATTACTATTTAATAAATGCATTATATTTGTAATATGTAAATTATTTAGCAAACCTAATAACATAAATTATTTGAATTAAGATATGTTAAGAGAGTTTCCAGTAATGAACTGGACCCGAGAGTAAAACATTATTGTATAAATTACTTCACGAAGGCCTAACTAATAAAAAACATGAAACATCCAATAATTTGTATATAAAATTGGTGCTAACCTAATTCAATCTTGACAAACAAAAAATAAAGATTGCAAACTCTACAGCAGATAGATGGCTTAAGAAAAAGCCTTTAATGTCTTAAGACAATGTAACATTGCCGAAGAGCAGACTGCATCTTGATCAAGGCATAGATCACAACCCATTCACAAAACCTTCCCGTTTAACCAGACGCACTCTTCCTTGCAGCATATATCCTGTAAGCACCCAACCCAACGAGTGCTACTGCCGCTCCAACTGGAAATATGATGCGTTAAATAAATCATTTAACAAAGAAACAAAAGCTGCGGTTATATTTTCTTGTGACTTAAGAGTTCAGAGTATTTGTAAATCGAAAGCAACTGGTCTAAGGTTGGAGGAATCAGGAAGATGGTTCCTATAATGTAGGGACTTGGTAAAAGCCATTTATTCATTTGCTAAAATTTGATTTTGTTGATAATTCATTCGCTATCAACACCACAGGCGAATAATGGATTCAGAAAGAGTCCTTAAACAACAACACTGGAGAAACAAAGCGAGCTAAATGGAAACACCAATAGGGACCAGTTAAGTGGCATAGCACCCTAAGGTTATAAGTGGAAAATCATTGTAAAATCAAAATGAACAATGAAACCAAAAGAGAGAACATGCAGCCAAAGATAAATCACATCATCCCAAATTTAAACAGGTCAATAGGCTCAAATTATTTAATGAAGTCAACCTAAAAACTGATATACCTGAAACACACATAAGAGATCGACCTATGAGCTTGTTGTAATGCTTGCGGTTTTTTCCAGCTTCAGTTTCTGGAATGCTTAAATGAGGGTGCTCAGCAGCCTTTACAATTCGGTGGAATACATTGTTGAAATCCCCTAACTTCACACTGATCGGTATAGGAGCCTCTACTCCCATATCCTGACTAACCTACAAAACATATTGGCATGTCAGAATATCATTACATTTCAACCGCAGGATGAAACAGTTGCTTGAGAATTTCTGTCAAGAAAGCACATATGCCATGAACATATATGCCAAGGAAGACATCAGATCAGAATGCAGTATTTTTTTCCTTGACAATCTGTTGTAACACTCAGTTATGCGTATCCGTATATAATCCCTAGTAGATGTTGCCCATAAATGGAAAAGCTGACATATTATACACTTTGACTGTTCTTGCAAGTCAGTAGGAAAAGTTGATAAATAGAACTTATAATCGGTTCAAATGCACACAAAGCCATAAAATGAACAACATTATCAGGTTTCTAGCTACAAGTCAGCCACAAACAGATTAATTGAACATATATCAGAACATGGACCTATACTAAAATGCACATGAAAATGTTGTAATAAGTGAAAATCATCTAATTATAAAGATTAGCAGAGGCAATCACAATTAACAAATCAAAGATGATTTGCAGAGCCACATCAAACTTCTGCTTGAATCAGGTATGGCAATATTTATGCAAACGGGTATAGTAATATTTCCAAAATCTTAGTTATTAGCAGGGTTATCAATCCCGGCAGTTAGCAACGCTATCCCGGGAGAGCGGACCGGCACGGAGGACAGCAGCTATGGAATCGTGGTTCACGTCTCATGTTGAGATTGCGGCCACATTTTGGCTTGGAGCAGGTCGCAGGAGCAGAGCGGGTTTAACATGCTCTCAGGTTTCAACCCCCTAAAAACGAAACTACCCTTCGAATTTAAACTGTTTTGAGGGTATTGTTGAGATTCCCTCCTCTTTAAGGTAAGCCCTAATTTGGTTTTGAAGCATCTTCCTCTCTCTCATTTTAGCTTTACTTCTCTCGTTCACACAGCTTTCCCGATAAAAAAGAAAGAAAAAGAAAAAAAAAAATCCTTTTTCACCTTTCTTTCTCAGTTTCGTGTTCTTCCTCCCTCACTCTAGGATCGCCGCTGTCCTCTCTTTGTTCAGATTCGTCTCTTTTCCCCTTTTTTTTCTTTCATTTCTTGTCCTTCCTTTTCCCTATTTTTCCTTCATCTCATTTCTTCTTTCCTTTCCTTCTTTTTTATCATTTTCTAACCGTTTCTACTCTATTTTTTCTAACTCTTATTTGGTCTCTTATTTGTGTTTTTTTATTTCTTTTTTTGTATTTATATAATTCTTTACATGAAATATGTATAATATTATTCATGTGAATCGTTAAAAAAATACATTTCAAATCAGGGTCATCCCGATATCTCACTTTTGGGTCGGCCGCTCTGCTCCACTATCCGGGATTGATTACTCTGGTTATTAAACTGCCATCTACAGATGAGTCCTCTCCATAGTTTCTTCATTAATCTCGAGATCTTTCTTAAAAGTTTCTCTTATAGGTTTTCTAGGTCTTCCTCTAACTCTAGTTGATTGACTCCTCTCCATCTAATCTATTCTCCTTACAACCAATGTTTAAAAACTCGATAGTTAATGCAGAATCAGTAGAGCACGGATCGTAATGGTAGAAAAATATATTTATATATGTATAATACATACACAATCCAAAAATCGTCATATTTAAATAATGTGATTTACAGTATGCAGTACACTTCAACTAAGAGGAAGAGGTAGTAACATTATAATATGAAAGAGAAATTACGGTTTATAATGGAGAGGAAGAATTTAGGGAGAAGAGGAGGAATTAATGGAGTAATAAGCAGTCGCAAATAATCACTCAGGATAAAGTTACACTGTATTTAAAAAGGAATGAATTAGTGTCTCAATAAATTCCTCATTAATATTAATAAATATTAATTATGGTTTTTAAGTGAAACCAACCCAAATCCAGCCAATTTTAAAAATATTAGAGTTTTTTTTACTAAAGTCCCCCCAAAAAATAACACCGCCTAGGGTTTTTTTCAAAACTAGTTAGCTAGACAACTCGCACAAGTTTACCTAGTTAGATACCTCAGATCCCACCTGAACTGCAGCGCGACAGTGGAAGTTTGGGACGTTGACTCGTCCGATTCTACGAATCAACTCGCGAGTTTGCATACACTGCTTACAACAGAATCTACAGCTCATCTCTCTCTATATGCACAAACCACCAAAATCTATTTTCCACCATCTTTTCTATTATAGGTGCTACCCCCAACACACTCTCTAATATTGTCATTTCTTATCTAATTTCATCTACTCGTACCACACTTCCAACGCAATATCTTCATTTCTGTAACACTTACTTTATTCTCGTGTTAATTTTTAACTTACTTTGCCAGCCTAATATAGATTTTTCTCCCGCCTTGGTTCCTAAATGTTGCTATAAACCGTCAAAAACTTGGGTTCTTGCGTCACTCGCTGCCTTTTTGATCTCTTTCTTAGCTTTCTTATATTTTTTCCAAGTTTCGGCATTTTTACACCTAGACCATTTCTTTAAAACATTCCTTTTTTTACTCTAACTTCACTTTGAAAAATAAAAATTAGTTAAGTGTAAATGTGTACAATAATAATTACAACCAAAACATCCCAATTTTAAAAAAGTTGAAGTAGTTCTCAACCTGCTTAACCAAATTTCAATCTATAGATCAAAGCCTACACATACACAGGCCACTATATATGATTATTGCTACTCAGAAAATCAGATGAAATCATGATTCCAAAACACGTCCATTCACTATATTAAATATTCATTATCTAAACCATACAACAATTATGTATAGAGAAACATGCATGTAAAATTCAAATACTATCATGCAAACTAATAAGTTAATGAAAAATACCCTAATTGAATCTTGTATTGCCGATGTAAATGATTCCAGATCATCCTTAGCTGCAACTATAAGACATGGCACCTCAAAGCCAGTATTTTCTCCATGCCCAGCAATATTTACCAAGAGTTCAGATGATGCCCTCCATGAAGACTCAACAGACCTTAAAAGAATTAATGAATATTTAATCAGCTGAGCTTTAAACAACCAACATTTTTCCAGGTAATAAGTATGAGTTGCCCACAGTCCAGACCACATGAACATGAAATTACAGTTAATTGAGACTAGAGGGGATAATTCACTTCATTAGTTTGACAAATTCAACCCAAAATTCGTGGTATTCAACCAACTTGTTGTTTTAGGAAGTTGATTCAGATACACAATGGAGTTTTTCTAAATATTTTTGATTTCAGATGTTGAGAAGTTGCTTATATGAGCCAAGTAAGAATCCAAGACACAGTAGCAAATTTTATGTTTAAATACACCACAGGCTCAAAAGTAGTTTTATAGTGAAACCTATTCTTATAATAATGCAAATGAAGAATTAACTAAAGAAACGGTAATACATACTTTATATGGTATACTGAAAGTTGATCCAGATGCGCCTTTTATTTGCTTCTTTTTTATGGAAGTTATATTTTTTCAGAATTGATCCTAATTTCTGGCCTAATTCTTCTTCTGATGATCGATCCAACCTCGGATCAAAAAGGGATATCATGGTTCTATTTTATCTCTTCAAAAAGTTTAGTAATGGGCATAATTGCGCTGTTGTTCCGTTGGACAGAAGAACCCATGATAAGTTTTTCGGGAACTTTCCAAACAAACAATTTCAACGAAATCTTTCAATTTCTTATTTTACTATCTTCAACTCTATGGAGTTGATCCAGATGCACAATGGAGTTTATCTAAATGCATTTGATTTCAGATGTTGAAAAGTTGCTTATATGAGCTAAAAATCCAAGACACAAATGCAAATTTTATGCTCAAATACACCATGTGCACTAAGTAGTTTAATAGTGAAACATACCCTTATACTATAGCAATTTTAGAAGAATAACTAAAGAAACGGTAATTCGTAATTTCTATGTTATGGTGGAATTTAATATCAACAGTCACCTATCATGAACAAAAACTGCAATATCACATGAGGCCAAAGACTCCTTATTGGCCAGCAGCTTTTCAACTCCACTTTCTGGAATCTCTTTCAGCACAAGATATTTTTTGTTTTCCTGCAAAGTAAATAATAAACCATGAATTTGAATATACAGATGCCAAGATGAACAAAATGAATGAATCAAATGAAGACTCTGGTACGGAAAAAGGTGAAAGAAAATAAAGTGTCAATCAAGTGTCATTTACCTTCGCAATATCAACAACATTTACAGCATAACGATCCTCGATGGTTGGATTGTAAGCTTCAGAATATGGCCTGCAATATTAATTCAACAAAATTAAGATATGATGCTCAATAATTAAAGCTATGTACCAGGAATCTTCAAGGTAACACAGCAACACACCTTCCAATGAAAGAATTCAATAAAGCGGATTTTCCGGCATTCCTAGGCCCGAAAACGAAGCACTGCAATACATTTCTTTCAGAAAGTTGTCTTTTACGATCAGTGCGGCGCTTCCTAGTCACACGGACAGCAGATAATGGATCACCAGAATAACCAAGGTATATTAAGTTCTCCACACTAAAGGTTGGGTTTAGCAGAGTCATGAGTGCCCACTGTCCAGAAAAAATATTATATATTTATTAAAAACAAATCAATGGTGATGTAAATTTTATGTTATGTTATATGCACTGAAAAGATGCACAGACCAGACATAAAGTCATATGACATGTCAAACTGAGGCAACCTTGATTCTCAAAACACTATCCAAATTGAGTGGTAAAACTGTCCGTAGAAATCCACCAGTCTCTACATAACATTGTTTAACAAGATTTAAGAGGGAGTAGAGAGAAATATAAGAAAAACTTGTGCACCTCTGACAAAAATGCATCAAGTGATAGTCCTTGAAATGCATTCCTTTCTGCAGCATCCTCATATGGATTTCCGATCCAGGGACTGCAATTAAAAATTATAAGCATAAAATAATTTTGCCAAGAGTCCTCGTTGACATTTAGACTTGAGAAAGGTTAAAAATTATAAGCATAAAATAATTTTGCCAAGAGTCCTCGTTGACATTTGGACTTGAGAAAGGTTAAAAATTATAAGCATAAAATAATTTTGCCAAGAGTCCTCATTGACATTTAGACTTGAGAAAGGTATACGTAAAAAAATGGAATAGCTGAACTTCATAAAAACATTAAAGAAACAAAGTCAGAAGCATATACCACATCCTTAAAGCACGTGTCATGTGTACATTTGAAAAATTGCACATAACATAAGAAAGATTCCACCAACTTCATAAGAAACCAGTGCAAATAAACCCACCATTTCATGGAGAAAATTAAAGTACATTTATCTAGGCACGCATTTTGAAGAAATCAGTTTACCTTTCTGGGACAGTGGAAAACAATTCTTCAAGTTCACATGGTCGCAGCATCCCATCCTAGAGGAAGGAAAATATATGGTTAATTTTCACTTTGTATAACGATGAAGTAAATCGAGAAAATGTCCAAAAATGATTGGGGAGCAGCATGAAAAATTGAAATTATTCAAGGTCATATGTGGAAATGACATACAAAATCAGCATCAAATGCATCAAAAATTGTCTTCAAGAATTCAATGGCTTCATTTGTCAACTCAACACTCTGCAGAGATTAAATCCAATGAGAATAGAAAATGTATAAGTTCTAGCTGTCAGAAAATTGAACACAAACATGTATAACATATAAAGAGCATGATACACGTAGCCACAATTCATCTCAAAAGAACCACCTGATTGGGAGTGTATTTCAAAGGTGGAAATAAATCATCAGCAAGCTTGATATCATCGTTATATCCAAACTTCCTGAGCACAGCCTATGTGGTCAGGAAGTTTGGATATAATGATGATATCAAGAATTCAAAAATTGTCTTCAAGAATTCAATGGCTTCATTTGTCAACTCAACACTCTGCAGAGATTAAATCCAATGAGAATAGAAAATGTATAAGTTCTAGCTGTCAGAAAATTGAACACAAACATGTATAACATATAAAGAGCATGATACACGTAGCCACAATTCATCTCAAAAGAACCACCTGATTGGGAGTGTATTTCAAAGGTGGAAATAAATCATCAGCAAGCTTGATATCATCGTTATATCCAAACTTCCTGAGCACAGTCTATGTGGTCAGGAAGTTTGGATATAATGATGATATCAAGAATTCAAAAATTGTCTTCAAGAATTCAATGGCTTCATTTGTCAACTCAACACTCTGCAGAGATTAAATCCAATGAGAATAGAAAATGTATAAGTTCTAGCTGTCAGAAAATTGAACACAAACATGTATAACATATAAAGAGCATGATACACGTAGCCACAATTCATCTCAAAAGAACCACCTGATCGGGAGTGTATTTCAAAGGTGGAAATAAATCATCAGCAAGCTTGATATCATCGTTATATCCAAACTTCCTGAGCACAGTCTATGTGGTCTCAAGACGCCCTTTTTCTATGAAAAGAGCATGAAGAAATAGAAATCCTGTCAAAGTAAGTCCTCGTTCATTCACGCCTTCAGATAATTTATCTTGCACAACCTTCTTTACACCGATAATTTCAGATGGTTGCAAAGGAGCATTGAAACATTTAACCTGTAAATAGTTTTGTTAGATTTTACACATACAAAAGTTAACCAACCTACTATAACATGATGTGAACAAGCTATTAATCAAGATACACGGTTCCATACTACAATACTCAGATATGATTAACAAGCCACAATTTTGTCATTTAATAAAAGAAAGGAAATTTTAAAACCTGAAAATCATTCAGTTCAGCATCGCTAAGGGCACCGTCTCTGTCATGGTCGCATAGGATAAAAATCCGCTTCAAAGCCCGTACACATCGAGGCTTTAGAGTTTGTGTCTCCTGATCAAATAAAGGAGCCGTTGGATGAAGAACAGCCTTTTGTGCATAGTAGAAAACTTCAGGGACCTTCAACAAGGAAAACGTGATTGCAATTGTATGAAACAAAGTCTAGAAATAATTGTAGCACCTTTGAAATAAGATTTAAAAAAAAGGAGTAATTTGATTGTAACATAGCATGAATAAACATACCTGGATTTGCCTAGATGCTGAACACTCAATGCAAGTTTCAATCTCGCGGAACTGTTGCATTATTGGAGACATACCTGTTCTAGGCTCACCTGCTGACTTTCATCTCGCAGGTCAAGCTTACAACCAACCACTATAACAGGAACCCTCACCTGTTCATGAAGTTCAAATATCTATGTCAAGCATTCGTTCTCTGAAAGTAAAAGTACAAACATTCTATGTGAATTCGATTAAGATGTACAATTAATAGACGTATACACTATACAAGCATGTGCATATGAAATAGGTGTTTCTACTTTCTACACAACAGATGAGCGTAATTGGTTTAACCATTTATCACTATCTATATCAAGTCTTTCGCTTCCATTCTCTAGGAATATTAATTTTTCTCTCTCATTAATTATTCTATCTCTTCACTTTAAAAAAAAGGGAACTAGAGGAGCTTTAATTGATTATATAGTACTCCAAATACAAGATCAAGAAAATGAAAGATTGGAACCTCTAAGTTGCTAAGATGAGGGAGCCAAAATGTACTTAACTTTCAAGTGTCTCGGGACGATCACATGCATAAGTGAGGACAACGGTGTCAGCTCGCTTTAGTTCTTCAGAAACTCTATCAATGTCTGGAATACTGCAACAAGAATAAAGTAAAATGGTGAACACATTCAGATTAGGGTAAACAACATTTACTGCTGTCCTAGCAGTAGGATAGATAAAAACATAAGCACCACGAAATGCAGATTGCCAAAATCAAATATCAAAGATTTCACAAAGATTTCACAAAGAATAGGGCGTCAATTAATAAAAGAATTCTTAGATGAAAACGTAGAGAATCCATACGAGGAGGTAGTATCGATGACGGTGATTGGCACATGATCTGGATAGAGATCCAGAGCAAGCGTAGATGGAGGCAACACCGGGGCGACATTAGGGCGAAAATTCTCGGAGGCGGCGGTGCTAATGAGACTGGACTTACCGGTACCTTGGTCACCGGCGACGACAATACGAACGCCGGAATGAACGTGAGGATTGACGGAGTTAGCTGAAGCTCTCACCATTGAAACGGAGCAAGAAACCTGAAAAGAAAACGAAAGAGAGTTAGTTATGTGAGATTGCGTTGAGTTGAGTGAAAGAACGAAGCGCGAAACCCTAACCTAACGGTGTGTTCTAGAGGGTGCTTGGAGGAAGTTGTTGTTAATGTAATATTTCACTTCCAATTCTTCACTGTGTTAATGATATATGTGGTTTTGATTTATTATTATTACTTGCATCATACCGCACCGTCTAATACTTTTCAGTCGTTTTTAGCTCTACGCTACCTCTTTTAAACCATGTGTTTCAAAATTACTTGGAAAATATTTTGGATAATAATTTTTACAAATTTAAAATTTTTAAAAATTGAATCAATCATTTTTAAAATAAATGTTTTTATCTTTGATTCTTAACTTATGCCTTTAACCTATTTTTTATCAACCTATAAATTGAATTTTTTAATTAGTTTTTAAAAAATTTCTTAATAGTTCAAATTAAAATGAAGTAACATCTAGAGGTTTTTTATGGTTGCTTTAAATGAAGGTATAGAATAAGTATTGTGTTGTGTAACTTTCAAATTTAATAACTATATATCACCTATCTATTCATCAATGTATCAATTGTTTAAACATAAGTTTTTTTTACTACACTTGTTTATGCCAAAAATGATCTAACATATAGAGTATGTTTGTTTTAAATTAAAAAAAAAAATGAATTTCTTTTTAAATTTTAGAAATTATTTTTATAAAAAAAATTTAAAAATATTAAAAAATATATATATATTAAATGAAATAGTGAATAATTATTTAAAAGATGTACTTCGAAAATAATTATTTAAAAGATGTACTTCGAAAATAATTTTTATAAAAAATTATTTGAAATAGTGAATAATTATTTAAATTAATTTTTTATTTAAAGTTTTTCTAAAAAAATATTATTGTAAATTTTTCAAATAAAAATATGTAAACTATAAAAGTTACTTTTAAAATAAGTTGAAACAAATGAATTCATAACTATACAATGTATTTATTAATTTATACCCATTTTATTAAATGAATTAAACACGTTAAAGATTCTCATGAACGAGACATGGTAAGATAACCTAGATGCCTTAAACCTTGCAATCATATAAGTCACTCACCTTGATTTTAAAACATCTCATATGAAGAAAGTTAATGTTAAATTTTATGTTCTAAGAATGTTTAGTGAAGTGGTGTGGTAAGATCTTAAATCAGTGGAGTAAATTTTTGGTGCGACAGAGAGAGAGTTGATCTACATGATTAGCATTTCAATGTCTAAGTTAGTAAGAGAGCGAAAAGTCGTGTGAGAGTTATAATAGATTTGAATACCTAAAATGACGCTATTTAACCTTGTATACTAAGAGCAAATGAAATTGCATGGTGTGATACATTGTGTTGCACGAAAAGTCGTCAGATTGGATCAGATGGTGGTTGATGTGTTGAAGGGTGTAATCGCCTACTTTTGATTAGAAAGAAGGTTTGCATGTTATGTGTGTCTTTCACTTGAGATCCGCTCTTGGGCCTTTCTTTATGGGCCTTACGAACAGACTATAACACTTGCCCTCAAGCTCTGATTCATATGGTGTATAGTGAAAGCTTGCAGTGTGCACATTATGTCGGTTGTTGTCAGAAGTAGGTGAATAGTCTGGATGTAATGTTACTAGTATTAAGAACAAATGCATTAAATGCTTGTCTCTTGATCAACGATATTTCACAAAGAAATTCTGATGTGTGTTCCTATTTTTGATGGTAATGATGTTTTTTTCTGTCCTAAGATACTCAATTACTCTGAGCGGTTCGCGATGAGAGCTCGACCATTTAAGGTGTAATTTTCATTTACCAATGTGGTAGATCTCACAACTCTTCACTACTGAAATGCATATAATAAGCTCTTGGACTATCAATCTTCTCTTTTTCCGATGCTTGTGGGTTTAATAAAACTTTTCTTCAATGGTGTTTTTTGCATAGGTCTTTATTCCTAACTACTTTGTGTTATTTCTTTAAGTGTGCGGATATTTGGAATCTATTTATTTTAAGGTAATGCCAAGATTTCTCATTTTTTTCATTATTGATTTCTTTATTAGGGTTTACATGAAAGAAAATCACTGGGTTCAATGAAGGAGATTTTTGTTGATTTAGTGGATTATTTTGCATACATTTTAGTCGAAACATTAGGCTTGGATTTCAACTTGCTAGTTGTATTCACTTATTTCATGTGTTGACAAGACCCCTCATAATGGATAACATCCAACTTGAAGTTTGGAAGGCCATAGGGGATAACTCATCGATATGGGTGAACCAAGAGACAGTAGATATTGTCTCTACTTATACTTTTAAGGATAGTTTATACCACGCCTTCACGACGGTGGGACCTTCTAAAGATTAGGAAATGATTCTCCCTGAGTATGATAAGAGAATTTGCAACAAATACGACAGGTGCATCCTTCCCATTCATGAATGTTTATTCTCTTTAATTAGATTTCATATCCCCTTCAATGATTGTTAGGTCGATGTGTTTAATTATTTATTAATCACCCCGTTATGACTAAATTTAGTGAGTTTGGCCGACATAAAGGTCTTCCAATGTTAGTGTGAAATATAAGAAAAGTGTGTCGACTACACCAATTCTCTTACATCTCTTTAAATCCCAATGTAGCTCTATTGAATAAGAACATGGCCAATGTTTCATATCTCTCATACAGTGTGATGAGATGTTTGAGGTATGTTATAAGAATGTGAAACACTTTAAATATTATTACTTCTTGGCTAACCCTTCAACGAGGAGACCCATGCTAATATATGTACCATAGATCTTAGGCCTCCTTACCAATGTTCAAACAGGTTCTTCGAGCTCTAGCGTCAGAGTCATTCCCAGACGGATTTGAGGTCCTATGTTTATAAAATAGTTTATATTTCTCAAAAAGAGATTACTTGAAAAGATAATTGGTATCTTTCTTTGAAGTTATGGGTTACCACGATGGTGTAGTCCCTTCCGATACGAGGAAAAAAAAGACGAGGGAAGTGGTACATATAGATGTGTTTGTTAATGGACGTCTGCTCGAAGAAGGCTAGGCTGATCATTTTGGTAAGATATTTGGTAATCACAATTTCTTGAATAGCCTTTGGTTTTTTCCTTCTAACTTGTTTATTATTGTTTTGCATATAAAATGAAATGTTATAAAACAATGTAACTGATGAAAAGGACTCTTAGGGTCATACTTCTTTCGGTAGGTGCAACCAACATTCCAGCTACTAGGGAAGTTCAGAAATAGAGGACCCTGTTGAATTGGTTACCATTTGCTCACATTCCTTTACGCATGCAAAGTTTGTGATTCTCCTACCCATGTTGTAATGGAGAATGCTTTATGCTCACTATTGCTCGTGGTCGGGGGAAATCTCATCGTGAGTATTGAGTTTGAGATACCTCAAGGAAAGTTTGTTTGTTTATCAGTGTCAGACGCTTGAGAAAGACTCTAGGGAACTTGGATATACATGAGGGACTATGTCAGCTCTAGTGGTCATGCCCCCTTCCCTTATTGTTTGTCCCTGTCCAAGAACATTCGATGATACATGAGCTTCTATTTTTGAAAATAACTACACATACTTTTCGAGCAAGGATGAAGTCATCTGCCATAAGAAATTTGCATATTTAGCGCATTACACTCGTCGGGCATCTTGGCTTTTGGCGCTAAGGGGACGGGAGAGGTCTTCTTACCCGACCGTCTTCAAAGATAAAAAAAAAAGTGCTTAAATAGTGTGTCAATACTCGTATGATTACTACTACAAATAATGCATACTATGACACACATTTCACCACAGTTGTTTGAAGGACTTTGTGATATCTTGAAAATCAGACGCCTTTATTTTATTTATTTTTAAATTAAAAATAATTTACATTTTACCACTATAGAATATAGAAGTCGTGGGAAAATCTTGCAAAGGTCGTGAGTTTGAATCACAACGTTTGTAAATTTATAATTTTTTAATATTATATTGGTATATTTCTTTTTAATTTATTTTTAAACTTAATATAAGTCACATTTCCCCATTGTTGTAATTTCCAATCGTGGTAAAATGTTTTCTCTTTTTAAAATTTTCAAATGGTTAAAAATAAACGCTTTGATAAAATTAAAATAAATCAATAGGATATCATCACTGTTGGAATATCCAACTCTTGTGAAATGTATTACTCTTATTCAAAAAATATAGTTTACTTTGTCATGTTTATTCAGTTTCCGTTGTCTTAAGAAAACAACATTCAGCGCTTACGAAAACCATTTTGAACCCTAACAAGTTTTTCATCTCCATTAACAAAGAAAACCCTAAACACATTTCATATCCAACTCGTTCACTAATGATGATTTAATAAGTGTACTAAACGTATCAAAGTAATAAAATTTATAAGTTCGTCTCCATAGGTGAAATTATGGCACTTTAAAACATGTTAATATTGATGCTCCAGTATCATAACACAATGTCAAGACAAATATTGTGACATATGTTCCTAATACAAAAAAATAATATCAAATTGTAAAATATTCAGAAATAAATTGCAGAATGATAAATAACACATTTGATTGTTAACCTAGTTCGGTGCAATGTTACCTACTATGGGGGGTACCAAGCCAGGAAGGAACTATGACAACATTAGTTTAAATCCTAAACAATCTTAGTTTACAACTTCTCACCTAATCACTACTGTGATCGGTGGATCCGTAACTGACTGTTTAATGTTGGTTCGCGAAATGTCGCGGAAGCAAGAGTCGCCACCGTCTTTTATTTTCTCCAACATGGACAGGACAAAAGCACAGCAAAATTCCTTATGAGATAGTTTCTCGGTTCGGGAGGTAGATTTATAGAAAGGGAAGGTGTTAGCACCCTTTCTATCCATGGTTATCCATGGGCTCTTAGATACTTGCTCATTGTGTTTTCAAAATGGTTTGCTTTTCAAAGTGTGGGTGGGTTTGAAAAAGTTTCGTTTAAAGATTTCAGAATGACTCTTGTAT